CCTTTCTTGAAATAAACGAGCATAAAACCAATATTTCTTACATAAATCCCTAGAGAAATGTTCCTTGATGTTAAATGCTCTTCATTCAAGACAAGATCAGCCATGTCTGTACTTGGCCCCATTGTCTCATTCAAAGGAGTTTCATTTACATACCTGTATAAAAGAAGGAATTAACATCAAGGAAGATGACTCTCTCATGAATTCAAGCAACACAGGATCAGCAGTAAGGAAAATTGTGGGATACAGTACAAAACAAGAAAATGGCACTAAGGCGAAGCAAATAATATGGGGTTGCCGCACTTTGACATCCTTTTTAAAATTGGAAGCATGTTTAAATTACTGATATCCGATAAGAGGGCTATATTCTTATATGAGATAAAAAAGGGCGATAGTTGGACTATATGCATGTGCAATATATATAAAAAACAGACTTAGTCGTTCTATTATCGCTTTTTATTATCACTACGACAGGAAAACATTTCACATAATATTTTAAATGGATAAAGATCATAAAATGCAAATGAGAGTTTTTCTTGGACTTTCTTTTAAAACACTTTTATTTACTGATCATATACTTATTATCATATAAAATGGTAATGAAATGAACATATATATATAGACATAAAACAATAAATTGAAGGTTAAATGAAAATATGTTACCATGTCACAGTATAGAATAAATCAGTCTCGTTATTGAACTGACACCGAAATTGCAAGTGTGGAACTTTCTGATCGATGTGTATCGTTTTAAATTTCAATTCCGGTTTAACAGTTATTATTCCCAAGTTAACATTTCTAGGGGCAGGATACGGTGCAGGTCTACTTAGAAATCCATGTTTTTCTATGAAAAAAAAAACGTGTACAAATTTAAAATGACAGAACAGATATCTTATATTGCATACGTGGAATTGTCTGTTACAGCAGCCCTTATTCATAAACAAATAAAAATAAAGAATAGTTACTGTCGTTATATCAAATGTGTTTACTCTGAGGATTATTGTGTTTACAAGACAAAAAACAAAACAAGATTTCCTGAATGTTTAGCTATTTCAAAACCGTACATATGGAATAAGACGTGGAACTTTAGTACGCCATCACCATGCCATTAGTACGTCATCAGCATGTCATCGAAATAATTTTGTTCTTATTTAACATTGCCTTTACCTCTATTTACATGGTAGAAACGTTTTATTTGGTGGCACTTGATTTACCCTGTACTTTATTTCAGTGCTCATATAGTTTATGTGCACTTCGAAATCTTTTAGCTTTGACAATAAATACCGATTAGTCTGCCAATAGGTGCCTTGATTCAATCACACTGTATCGGCAATTGTTGACCTGATCAGTGGACACTTTAGGTTGTCTTTTTAAATGGTATTCAAATGAGTTTCTTTAGGTATAACATATCTTTCTTTACCTACCGAAACAATAGGCGCTGTACCGGGTAGTTGGTTTCAATTTATATTGGACGTCGTCGTTGCATTTTCTCACTTGAATTGAATATTTTGTGCTACAAGGGTTTTATCATCACGAACACAAGCGACTATGTCAGTCGGATCCTCTCCAAGATTATTCACCAACGTATGGTTCGCTGAAAGTTTACATATAAGTTCAATTAAGAAAATATATTACCTTTGGATAAAGCAATTGATATTGTCCAGTATTGAGTTTAGATTACAGTATAAACATAGGTTCACGATAACTCTATGTTTATTCCATACAGGTTATTTTTCATTTAAAAGTGAAGTGGACATTACTCGGCTATGACAAGTTTGTTTACATTTTAAGAGTACCTACCCCATTAGTTTTTAAATTGCACACATTTTATATATAGACTGACGATCGACAAACTGCTCGACATTATAAATAGCCCTATTTGAACATTGAAGATATATTTCGAACATTTACACACAAATGTAACTTTTTTGTTGGAGTCACTATGTTCGTTATCAACGTTTTACCTTTCAAGTAGATTGGCAAATATGTAGAACATTTCAAGAAGTTTGGTTCACTGGTAATATCTGTCATGAGGTATTGCCAACCGTAAAGTGTTGTACTGTACCATCCAGGTATAAGGTCTGCATCATTTAAGACTATGTCGTTTCCTCCATTCCAAAAGTTGGATTGTCTCCCAGAACCCCTGAGTTCTAGATCATTTAGAAGCCGGACATTTTCTTCACAGCAGTCTGTGTAGAATATATATGACATGTATTTAAGGAGGATAGCAAAATCCAGAATGCGGCAGTTTTATATGACATGAGTTTAACGCGATTTAGCAGAGTGGTGTCATTTTATCTATCACTTGGTTATAGCCAATGATTTTCAAACAGATAAGATGATCGAGAAAATTTACGCATGGTAAAATACATTGAGATATGAGATCATTTATTTATTTATTAACTAATATAATCACATCAGTCATACAATCAAAACTTTGTTTTCAAACTGATTCCAGATAGATGATGTGATAGCTAATTCTCAAGTTAAACATGTCATTAAACTCTTACCATTTTCCTTAGGTTTTGTCATTTGCAACTTAGACACTTCACGTGAAAGAAAGATACTTACTGCGGTTGCTGATATGTAAAATACTCGAAAATGGACCTGCCTATCCATTTTTATAGAATTTGAGTTGACTTCCCTTCGCTAAAGACAGGTTTTTTGAAGTACATAGCAATGTTCTAATTAAATCCTTGTAAAGTCTAAAAATGCGGAGACACAGTAGTTAGGAAGCTGTGCAAGAAGTAAGTTAGGCAGCCAATTTTCGAACGCCTCCCATAGATTTTGGTTATTTATACTTGATATGCCGAGACGGAAACCGTCAAATATTTCAACAAGCAAATACTTAGCTACACGAGGGCATTCCTTATAAAATAATCACATTCTGTAAAATAGTAAATATACTTAATAGACACATCAAAGTGGTGGAGTTGTTGCTTAAAATCTTAGTCGAATACAAAAGGACATGTTTAGGCAAGATAAATAGGCTTGAACACAAAAATGAAAACCAAACAAATCATTTTAAAATACTGTTGTTGTTCATGACTATCTAAATGTGCGATATAAGAGATAGAAAAGTATAAGGAAAATAAATAGAACAATGCATTGTAAAACAGGTAGATAAATTACTAAACTTGTGTTTGAAGTAAAAAAAAGTTTCTCGCGACTACCTTTCAAAAAAATTGCTAAATTTATACATTCATTGTACTCTTTGATAGTCCGAAATGTAACAATGTTAAGCACTCTTGGTATAACAATGTTGAGTTCTGTTGCTTTAACACAAAAATATAAATAAAAGAAAAGGAAAACGATACCTTTAAGTTAAACTAACGCCACCGCGACGTGTGACTTATGAAAATAGCTTCGCTTATTTGCAGTTCAAGAAGCTAATACAATGCTTATGAAAAAGATTTCTCAGCAATTCATTGAACGACAGAAACATTTTAGTGTGATAAAATTGTGTGAAATATTAGACCATGTGACTGTAGTTATTACCGTGATATGTAAGTATTAAGACTGTATTGAATGTATTCGTAATTAATATTTGCAGGTGTACCGAGCTGTTCACCGCCTCTTCATATGCTAAAAACTGTACAAATATCCAAGAGGGGAGTTGCTGCTATTGTGACAGATAAGTCAGGAAGTATTTAAATAAAATCTTTCCGTCAGAAGGATAAAAAGCGTTTAAAAAAATGGAACACCAGCATAAACTTCATATGTACTTGAAGTTAGTTTAAAATTATAAATAAAAGGCAAACGAACACATAGTTCTTAATGATAGCAATAAAAAGATGTATCAATTCGATTAAACTCATGAACAAGGATAGAAGAAATAAACAATCAAATAAATTATTAAGTATATAGATCGAAATGCAATAAATATAATTAAATGATAACTTTAATCACTTACGCACAGAATATTGTACTGCAACTAAAGAAACCCATATGAATATAATTCCTCTTCTATCCATTATGTAATGAGCACGACTGCAGTGCATATAATATTAGAATATGTTAGTTACCCGGACGTTTCTATTTAAAAACTAACAATACATTTCAGTGACCACAATGTTTTTTTACTTATAAAATTTCCTTATTGGTGTATGTTTTACAAATCTAAATAATTTAGGTATGCCTTTGACGGTAGATTCAATACATGTACATTTTGAAGAAAAAAAGTTTAACTTTATATTGAAATGCAATGCTTCCCAACAAATGCCCTAGCTGTCAATTTTGCGAATTTAGTCACTATTATATCAGTCAGAAGTTAGGTATATAAATGATTGATCTATGTCATTTATCATCTTGGAAAATATTAACAACACTATATATTGTAAAGAGCATTACTTTTGTTGATGGACCTCTCTTATTATAGATACTATAATTATCGTCTTGAATTTGTATGTGCTACTTCTTAATATGACATGTCATGACAAAATGTCGGATGTAATTGAAATATGAGTATTTAACCCTGTTTACTTGTGTTCCACTTCCGATGTCACGGAAATTCAAGACATTTTTAATCCCCCAAAAAGCTGTGTTTGGTAGACATTTGCCATCTGAATATTTGAGCCACATGAACATAAACACAATGCTTTAACGTAAAATATTCCTATTGTTGGTTATGATTTAAGTGAATCGGTTAAATTAATATTTTGTATATGAATCATGACATAGCTGTCTTAGAGAACGCGTTCTTTTTCAAACATTTTAGTCATGACATTAAAAAATGTCTTGAATTTCCGTAACATTGGAAGTCCTTTTCTCTTTATCCCCGAGTGTCATGTAATAACTTCCGGAACGGTACACTATGAACAAACACTTGTGTACCTCTCATTCCGACAGTTAACGGCTTCTTATATGGTTCAGTGTATTAATTCTTCGAAACTGCAGGCTATACCGTCCTTACCACATTTTATGTAAGTGCGAGAATTGTGTACGATTTGTATGTTTTCATTACGTGGATCTTTGTCAAAACAGTAGTAATCCAATTAAGAATAAAGTATTCTTAATCTGTACTCCGACCAATATAAAATGCATTTCATTGGAATAACTTGCAATAGTTAATTTAAATAACCAGGATGCTGGAGACCAAACTTTCACTTAGATACTTAACTTAATGATAATCTTCTTTAACCAATATTAATATTGTTAATTTTCTCAATATTTTTGTTGATTTATTTTATAAAAGCGACGGGTTAGCAGTTGAATAAAGAGTATAAGTAAACCACATTTGTTTTTGTCACTTGTAAAGTAATAGGGATTTAATATTTCTTATGAAAATGTAATAATACTGTTTCAACCTTTGCTCCTTTTATGGCAAATTATCAAACGTTCTAGGTTGCTTTAATATCGTCGTAAGCATCTTACATGCTTTAAATCGATTAAAAACATTAAACACTTCTTCAGGGAAAATAACTATCACTTCCTAAGCTTATTGTGCCTTTAAAACCTAGACAGATAAAAAGCATGACGCAACATGAAATGTTAACGCTTCAAAGTGTTTATATAATGCAGTTGTATTAACTTATTATATTTCAAAACAGTATTCAAATTAGGGCATAAACTGGTTGCAATAAATCTTTTCAATCAATTGAATCATTACAGGCTATTTGTAATTCTATCTCCAAGTTGGTTAAATGATTGAATGCATATTATTCGAACTTAAGATTCGTTTCATATTTTGTTAACAAAACAATTTTAAATCAATATGTTTACATTATTGGTATGTAAATAAGTTTGTAAATAATATATGTTTATGTTTCGTAAACAATTGAGAAACAGGAAGAGAATACCGGCAAGATTTTGATCAATAACGGTTAGGTCGAGTTGCACCATTTCCATTCAGATAGGCGTGCTGTCATGAGTGTAATTGCGTTCTAAATTTAGATTATATTTGTAAGTAGGAAAATATTTTTTAAAATGTGAACGTATTCGACAGTGCTAGATGTGTTGATATTGTTCATAAGATTTAAATTAGGATAATGTAAAGGATATACGGTATCAGTGTACAGTGAATATGCATCTTCTCTTTATTGTGATATGGTGTTTATTAGGTCTGATGCCGGGTAAGTGTTCTGCTTTTATATTATGCGCAAAAGAAAGGTTCCTTTGAAAAAGATTTAGCAACATAAGCGTCGGCATCCATTTTATCAAGTCGGTTTTTTCAATATAACACACACAATGATTTTAAGGGTCACAATTATACTTAGAGTAACATTTTTAAATGGTACTGACTTATTAATACGTATGATTAATACTATGAAATATGTCTTTTTAAAGCACATGATCGTACACATTGTATTCGAATTATGTTTGGCTTATTCAGTAAATTAATTAAAAAAATATTTATGAGCATCATGTTTTAACGTTTAATTGTCTTGTTTAATTGTAGATTATGTTGAAATGAGCTGTTATAATCCACCTTCAGGTAGGTGTAAATATTATATATTTCATTTTTTATAACTATCACACTTTATTACCCTTCAGGTAGGTATAAATAATTTATATTTCATTAATTATAATTATCTCACTTTATTACCCTTCAGGTAGGTATGAATATTATTTATTACATTCACTTTATTACCCTTCAGGTAGGTATAAATATTACATATTTCATTTCTTATAACTATCTCACTTTATTACCCTTCAGGTATAAATATTACATATTTCATTAATTATAACCATCACAAGATGTTCCGGAGGTACTTAATATCTGCGGATACATGCAATTCATTATAGACTTTACCCTTGTGATGTACTTTTTAAATATATTAAAATGTTAAGAAAATCAAGTATAGAAGGACATTGGATTAGTTTGGTTGAAATAACAAATTGATATCTAATATATATGCATGTAACAACAGGAGGAAAAAGATAAAACAAACTGTTGTGATTTACTAATATCAACTGATCATCATGTTATGTTGTCCTTATGTCCTAGTGTTGTACCCCTTCAGATGAGTTAAAATAAATCGTGGCGGAAAATAGTATCACTTACTCTGCATCTTCTAGTATTTAATAACAAAACTTTACCACCTGTGTTAAAACAATACTCAACTATTAATGATCTGTCAGTGTCTCGATCAGTGATGCTATAAGGTAACCCTGGTTATATTGATTAGCAATCATTAACCGACAGAGAACGGATCGTAAAGTTTCCATTGAAACGCCATAATAAGACTGGAACATTTCAATTTAATATAATGTGAGGTTCATTGCATAATATTTTTTTTTTGTCAACGGATCAACTGACAAATGATTTTAATCTTTATTATACTGTTTGCCTTTTTGAAAATGATATGATATTACAAAAAAAGTTTAATTCAGGTAAATTATAAATGAGGAATTTCGTTAGATTAACAGTTTATCATAACTTTGTTATTTATCATTATTTTCATTATTATTGTTATTGTCATTATTTTGAATTCTGTATTGGTACCTTCCTATGTTTGTCTTGTCTTTTTATGAACTATCATTTTTATTAAATCATTATTATTATTTTCAAATATCATTTCGAATAGTTTCTACTTTTGTACTTGTAAAAAGTTATATTTAAATATTTCCTACCAGTTTTCGTTTTACGCTAACTTAAAAATACATAAAGATATTTCCTTTTAACTTCAGAGCTGTGTACCAATGATATGGTAGAAATCCCAAGTTTGGAAACTAGAGATCCGTCAGTCATGACCACTAACGAAACTTCTCACTGGACATTCTGTGATGTGTATTCGATCGACACAAATACATGGTACAAAAGTGGAATCCCTATGACCACGCTATGTCCTTCAATGTATATGTGTGGAGCAAAGTTTCCTATTTGGATGAACGGTTCGTACATGTATTAATGTCAAATATATCAAAAGATCAAAAAAGATGTTTAAAACGCCTTCCAAGCAAACATGACATTTCAATAACTTAAAACTGTATTTCGTAGTTTCAAAAGAAATATATCATGTATTTAGCTAGAAATTAAAGACATATGTATAATGAAAATCAATGACTAATTAATTAATTAGGACAAAGCTTAATTAATGGAACTACTACTCAAGTGCTTGCTTTCACAACAACCTGAATTAACATTTAACAATGGTCTTGCCCTACAGTTTTACTAGATACTGATTTTGAATTCCTAGGTGAGAATCCAAGTCCCGGAGATGGGTTAGTGAACAGGACATCCTGTTGTGTACGTACCTACAGGATGACCGCTGTCAATTGTGAGGTTCAT